TATTTTTTTTTAGTAGTGATGTATAGTAATAGTTATTAAAATAGAGTAAATTATATCAATCCACTGCGCATAACATTTTCATTACAAAGTATAATTCTACTTTTAATTGATTAACTATATTTTTTTATTTTAGTTATTTTTGAGAAAAATTAATTTATAATACATTTTTAATGGTTGATAATTTATAATTAATTATTTTCAATAAGAATTAATAAGTGGTTTGGCCAGTTCGGACCTATTCAAAGTAAATTTGTTGACTAAGTATTTAAGAAAAAAAATTAATCTTTAAAATAGATCAAATGGAACAGCACAGATTTTTTTTCTTTGTTCATGTATTCTGGTCATAATAATATCATATAATGATCTTAAGTTTTCATCAAAAATTAACAATCTATAGAATTATAAATAGAAAAGAATTTAAAACAAAAAAACAAAAATTTTTTTTATTAAATAATGAGATTGTATTGTAAAAATAGATAATGTATAGGTATTAATAGTAAAATAAGGTWTAATACAGTTCCATAGAATAGATTTCTCAATTAAAAAAATTGTTTGTGAACAGAGAAACCAATCGACCAATTGGTGTCGCCTGCATGGTGGTACCGTATACCGATCCACCGAAATTTACGCACCAAGAGACTAAGTCCGAATTGTTGGCTATGAAGAACTTGGCTAAGAATATCGTAATCACGCGAAATCAAGGTTGTGAGGAATACGAAAATAACACCCATCTATGGAATAGATTCCTTTTAAGCTGCATTATGCGGATGCGATCGATTACATTCATGAATAAAAGTAAATATACTTGAACATAATATTAAATTTATAAATATGTATAATGTATATAATTATTTATATTTTATTATTTTGCATTTCTTTTTAATAACATTGTTTTTTTTTTTTTTCAAAATTTGAATTAATCACCTTTCCTCTCTTTTTTTTGTTCAAACACAAGCGCCTATAGTAAATATTCTTTCGACCGGTACACTTGAGGGGAGAGTATTATTGTATTTCATAAAAAATAATGTATGTGATGATAATCGTTCAATAAATTTAAAGTGCATTTAGTAACACAATTTTTCATTAAATTATGTTAGGTATATGTTATATTTAATTATGATTAAAATTAATATAAGTTTAAAATAAAAAATTATGATTTTTTTTAAATACAACTGTTGGTTTATTTTATACCAGAATGACTAAAAATATTTTATCATATCCTGAACAACGTTGATAATATATGTTGGTCTTTTTGATCGGGACTTGAATCGGATAGCTCAGCGTCTTT